CATTGGGTTGAATAGTAAGACATTCCTTTAAGCCTGGGAATTAATCTGGCTACTCTCCCCTAGACTGATGTCAGAGCAGCAATGTGTTTTCTATAAAGTGTTGACCAAAAATGTGCACAAAATTCTAAATAAGGTTTTACTACTTTTAAATTAGCCTTCACAATCTTTTATGTAAGCTTAGGAAATAACTATGCTCAACTATTTAAAAAAATACATTACAGATGGTGTTTCCTAATAAGCTCAGTCTCTTTTAATGTGCATGGGACAGTCAGTGCTTCACAATTGTCCATGCTCATATTTGTTGCAAAACACAGCAAAAAAGAATTCAAGGTAACAAGTTAATCATGGTGCCATTTTGTATTTTTGCTTTTTTTCTGCTCCAGGCTCCAGTTCCGTTTCCTCCGACATTTTTAAAGCTATTTTGGCATCTATGGGTCAGCAATATTCAAAAGAGAGCTGCTTAAAGGATTCGGGTACCGAATTCATGAGATGTGCCTCTGTTGCAAATGTGTGGCACTGTGTTTCCGGAACCACATCATTCAGGTCTGTTCAGGATCATTAGTGAAGCCATGCATATTAATGGAGGCGCAGTGGAGTGGAGTCATAGCCTGCAAGCACAGTGGGGTACTGGGTTCTAGCTCCAGGGGTTCTTAAAAATTCCTCACACTGCAGTTTGCAGGTGGCAGGGAAGACCCCCGCAGTTCTCAGTGAATCGGGTCCAATGTCATTGCTTTGATATCAGGACCGTTGTACTTAAGGCAGCTCCAGAATCCAGTCTTTACCCTTGAAGCAGCCCTGCAATAAAACCGCTGCTTTGTGGTCTTTAAATGTCTTCTTTTTCCTGCCCCTTACTTGTAAATCCTCTTTCCAGCCTTGCTGCCTTTAAGGAAGGCTTTCTGAGAAGACAGTGAAATTTGGAACTACAAAAGTTTGTGAATGAGTGTCATTTTGAATACAGTATGTGTAATGCTCCCACTACTGTGTACAACCTCTCCTTCTCCTCCCTTTAGCTGAGAAATGAACTTACTTCTTCTTAATTACAGCTGGAAGTGGAATTTGAGTCAAAGGAACACATTTCTTCAGCATGTAATTTTACATACAGGAGTTCAAACATTATTTAATTACTGTATCAATAACATGGGTGAGATTCAGAAGGTATGCAATTATCTTATCGTTATACATAAATGGCATCTGTTGATTAAACAAATAATCCTAAAAAGGAAAGATAACTGGATAACATGCAAGCTGGACTTCTGAAAATGTTCGCTGTAGTTCCTGTTTCACATTAGTGCAGTTAATTTGTCATATGCACAAGTGCAATGAAATGCTTATTTGCATATATGCTCCGATACAAAGACATTAAGAAATCACCAAAAACATAAACACTGAACAGCAGCAGCACCACAACAACAAGTTAAACAACATACAACTTAAAAAAAACATTAAGAAAGCATATGAGAATGATTGCTTAAGGAATTTGACACTTGCTTTGAATATGTTTGTTCTTTTGGGAAAATGTGTTTTGATATGGTCACATAAAGAAAAGTGTCGTGTACAAACACAGTGCAATACTAATGTAAAAACGCACACTATTGGCAATACCTGATGACATCAAAGCCACATCATAATATCCAGTGATCAGTAAAGTTAAAAAATAATAACCAAGAAAATAGTTGAATTGATTAAATGTCGAAGCCAAAAGGAGAATCTTTACATACTATATGCAGGCAGACCTCTAGATGTTTGTTGGTTGTTAACATCGCAAGATCTATAGAGTATCTAGGAACAATCCTATTATTAAGTCTACTTTTAATCAGCACTAGGCAGAACTCCCACTAGGTTTTCTGACCTAAGGGCATTCTAAGCAAGCTTCTTTATTTTCAGAAAAAAAAAATTCTTTGCACTGAAAATGCTTCCTCTGGTTTTACATTTCTGCCACATGCCCTCAACTGTTAACTTTCCCAGTTTTCAAAGTTTTGTATGTGCCAAGACAAAGTCATGGTGTTGCATCTGCCAGTCAAGTGGAACTGTGTGGAGAATCTTTTTTTCACACAAGCGCTGCATGTGTCTGTGTGTGAAAAAAAGAACAGATTGTACAGGAACTTTTGTAAACTGTTTCATGTCACAGGTTTTTGTAACAAAAACTACCCAGACTCTGTAAGGTTAATAGTGTATGTTAAAAAGTATATTGAAGCATAGCGCAGCCTGTCTTGAGTTCATTGAGCTGTACCAAAGAATAAAAAAATATTAGATTAGATCTTATTTTGAGTTTCAACAAATTCAGAGCTATGTGCCTAGAAGATATGTCTGCTTGAGTAGGAAAACAAAAGTTGCCCATAAAACTTTTGTTTTGATGTTAATGACTTTTTTCTCTGCATCGTGAAAGGATAGAGATACTGTTGCTTTTATGTAAGGTTTGATGTACAAAAATGCCAAACCTTATAAATAGCAAACTACAAAACATACAAAACATTTATTTCAAATACAGCTTAGATATTACTGCATTGATCTACATACACCACAGGCTTTCTGTTTTTTTTTCCATCTTTGTAGTGATTTTATAATATACATCTTTAGCTATACCAAAGAATCATAGTTTTTGCATCTTTATGGTTTTGGCAAAGTGAGGTCTTTTACCCCTTTTTTGTTCAATTTGTTTCTAAAACCATTTTGAAGGTAAACATGTTGAAACATGTTTGAAGGTATAGATATTCAAACTCTTTTGGTTTGTATCAAAAAGTCAAGAGATGCTTCTCTTGATAAGATTTAATATCATCAGAATCAGAACATATATCAGGGAGACATTGGAGAAATGGTTTTATACTAGCATTTGCACACCTGCTGTCTTCTAAATGCGAAATGATTTAATGTTTACTGAGATTAATAGAATTTCTCAGGTTTGTGCAGGAAGGGCTAACCTTGGAAATGCCCTGCTGAATACAAACATTAAGCATAAATATGGTTGACAAAGGGTGGCATAGTGGTTTGCATTGCTGACTTGCAGTGCTGAGGCCTTGGGTTCAGTCCCTGAGGTGCAATCTGTGTGGAGTTTGCGTGTTCTTCCTGTGTTCATGTGGGTTTCCTCCAAGTGCTCTGATTTCCTCCCACAGTCCAAAGACATGTGGCAGTTTAACTAGATCTGGGAAGATTGGCCCAGGTGTGAGTGTGCCCTGTGATGGACTGGTGCCCTGTCTAGGGTGTACCCTATCTTCATCCCACTGCATGCTGGGAAAGGCTCCATGCCCCTGAATTGGCTGAAGTGGTTTGAAAATGGATGGATGGCTAATGAGGCCCCCTTTCTTTTTTCAGTGCTTTGCATCCCTCCATCACACTTCTCTCCCATTCCTTCTCTCATTCCACCTTGTTGGGGTTCCAGTTGCCCTGCCCTATCGGTCGGGCTGCTTTTCCCTCCCCTGAAAGAATTAAATCCAAATACGTATATATCTCAAACTGCCCACCCCACTGGACCATTCAGTATCAGTAAACCTGTGTTGGTCAGGAGGAATTGATTTGCTGTCTAAGAATGACTGACAGTTGTGTCCTCCACATAAACCTGAGACAAAGGAATATCCACACAGTGGTAAAACTGTATCTGTTTTGGAATTCTAGTTAACACTGGAACAATATAAATAGGAATAATTCATTATGGTGCAGCCCTGTGGTCTTTAACATTGTGTGGGAGAGATCATCATTCTTCTCTTCTGTGTCTGTGGGATTTCAGTTACTTACAGTATACAGCAGCTATTTGAGGAAATCGCCCGCAGTGAGTTTACCAGGAGCCTTTTAAATGAGTCAGATAAGGATATGTGACGTGAACTCGGTGGGCTTGTGTGTTTAGTGTCTTGACAGGCTACTGCACAGATGTGATGCCCTAACTCTCATGTTTACTTTGCATGTCCAGAGACAAGTTGGGTTACCGTCTTCTATTAAAAAAAAACAGTCAATTTATCAAGATGTCCATTGATAAGCAAGAGGCCCCTAAGAGAATAAGAACATATTAGAGTCTAGTTACGGCCCATCCAGCCCGTTTGGTAGTTACTGTAGTAGCTAATTGATCCAAAGATCTCATCCAGCTGTTTCCTGAATATCCAGGAACAGATATTGCTGTTCCTGGATATTGTATATATATATATTCAAGAAGTTCAAATCACACTCATGCCTGTAATCATGAATTATGGGCACCCAGGGTTTTTGTTTAATTTTGCTGGTAACTATTGTTGTTCTGGGAGAGCAAGATTTACATCTGACAACTCTTCTCTTCTGCTTCATGTTGTGACAGCTCCACTATCCCTCTCCATTAGCAGCTGAGATGTACAGTATCAGGATTCATCCCACACAGTGGCTGTCTGGTTGACTTTGGGTTTTATACTGTATATAAAATATCTAAAGATTAAATAAAAAAAAAAATAGAAAATTGAGACAATATCAACAACTTTTGAAAGCAAATTGTTCTAAGCTCTGTATTGCTCCTGCTTTTTTGCATTACAATTGATAAAAAAATAAAATGCCCGGTAATTAAAGAATTTCTTTTTCTAAACTATTCAGCATTAAACTAGTTCACATTTTTTGGTTGTACATTCAAATTTGTTTTGCATAGCTGTTCTACGTTTTTAAAATGAGAGTTCTGAGAAAAAAGTCATATATCACATGTACTGTACAGTATATAGCCACATTTCCTCTAAGTGGCAATTATATCAGTGTCATTTAAAGTCGTTTCCAATTATGAAAAAAACAGGAGGAAAATCCCACTGCTATTGTTCACTGTATAAGAAGATGGCATTTGAAATCTTACTGTACTTCTATTTTCAAAGCCACGTAGTGAAAAAAAAATCTATAAGATCAGAAAGGTAGATTTGTTTTTGGAAATGATGTCATTTTGTGACAATCGCATCTTAGAAATGGTTGGGATGGCCTACAATAATCCAATTCTGTGGGTTCATACTGTACACTGATACAAGTCTAAAAATTCAACCTGTCTTTTTTCCTTGCTTGGCACCTAGAATCCGTTCTAATAAGAGAATGCTGTTGCTGGTTGGTGGGCTGCCTCCTGGACCAGATCGACTCCCAAGCAATTTAGTTCAGTATTATGATGATGAGAAGAAGACATGGAAGATACTTACAAGTGAGTAATATGTCCTGTTTCCTTGTCTCACCTATTGCTGTGTAAAAAGTGAAGTGTGACAGGTGTACTGTAGATGTACAGCATTTGAAGTGCTTTTTTAAGGTAAAATGCAAAAACAGTTCCTTAAATTCTTAAGGCAATGATGTATTACCATCACTTTTAATATAGGTTTTTAATCAGAGCGTGACTTCACACTGTTGTGAAGCTTTATGCATGGGCTCACTTGTTTTTGCTGAAATCTCTTGACAAGATTAATTTTAGTTTAATGCTTTGGTATAGATGTAACATCAAAGAATGAGATGAGTATTCCTGCTGGAACACTCTTAAAGGCGAACATGTTAAAGCACTTTTAAATAGCGTGACTGAATAATTCACTTAACGTGTTCGTACGGCTTGCATGTCAGCCTGTAACTTTCTACAAAAGGATCCACAATCACCACAGAGTACAGCACATCTACTGTATAGATTCACATATAGTGTATCTGATTCCGGTTGCTTTATTCCTTAGAATTCCTTAGAAGACCTCTTACTATGATAAAATGTGTTGGGATGTGTCTTATTCCTATCCATCTTTTCTCCTTTGTCCAAGTACGTTTTCTTGAATCATTGTTGACCTATTGAAGAATAATGTCTCCCTTTCACATTACAATGTAGGTTGTAACCCTTATCATAAAGGGAGACCTTTTCTGTGCATTATCAGCATTTTTCTTCATTGGTATTATTGAGTTTATGTCTTATTTTTTTCCATTCCTATCTGCCATAGCTCTCAAAGCTCTGCCATTTCTATCTAAGAATGATCCTGGAACACAAGATTCACAGATTGACTTGATTTAAGCAAAAAGAAACTCAATTTGTTTTCTCCACAATATCTGAAAGCTTGTGTATTGGCCAGACCAGATTGTTTGGTTTATTTCAGTAATGAAGGAGAACCGATTTGTTTGACAGAAGCATTGCTTTTTGGAAAATGTGCTCTATTGCAAGAAATCAGATGAGGCTAAAATACTAATTTTATTGAACAAATTCCTGACAGACCTGTTCTGTAATAAGGATAAAGCAGTGCAACAAAGGTCAAAATCATATCCTTATACTAAATCATAAGGTAAATACAGGAATATTACATTAAACCACATGGCCTTTACAGAATTAGTATTTCTGTTTCCAGTTTTGCTGTCACTTTCTTAATTTGTGTTCATTGTGAATTTTATTTTTGATAAAATTCTTTGTGTTCCAATTTTTACAACTTTATGAAGTGGTGTGCGTAATGTTCTCCTTGTAATGTGACTAATATACTGTTAAACAGTGGGATCTGTATAAGTATAATTAAAACTACGTATACATAAAATGTAAAAGATGACTATCCATCAGAACATTTTATTTAATTCTGCCTCCTTTCAGGTAAGAAGTGTAATTTTAACAAACTGCTACAGCTATTAAGAAATCCCCAAAATAAAATTCTAATTTAGTAGCAGCAGCATCCTGCAAATTGGGATCTAATCATTGATAAAAACAATTTTTACATCCAGGTATGGTCCAATAAGGTCCTTTATTTGTGCAATTTCCTAGCACTATTATGTTTACTGTTAATTCAATCACTTCATGCCTTAAAGTGCCAACATAAATATGGGCCCTACAGAAGGGGTCCCCAACTTTGGTCCTGAGGAACCCCATTCCACGTAGTCTTCGCACACACGAACTTAATTTCAGTTGAAGGGATTCTGCTCCAACAAGGCTGAATATTCAGATAGCAAAATGGTCTCTGATTTACTGAAGGAACCGCGATCCTGACTGGTGTTGGCTGGGGCGGCGCTGTGGTGCAGGAGCTTGCGTTGCTGAGGCCTGGTGTGAGTGAGTGTGTGTTTGTGTCTGTCTGCCCAGCGATGGTCTGGTGTCCTGTCCAGTGTGCCCTGCCCCTTTCTTCCACTTGCTAGTGTAAAATCCAGCATTCGGTTTAGGGTTATAGGCATTCATATGAAGGAAAAGAGAGCTTTCACTGGCCGATTATCAAACTTGATTGACAGAAAAAAACTAGCAGACCCAAAAGAAGAAGAAAAAAGAATAATGGACACAGAGCGAGCCTGAGTTCTGCCCTCAGCCGTCCACACCTGGCTTTTCCCTGGGTCAGAGATTAAATAAAACTTCACTCACACTAAACAAATTACCACATACAGAATCCTGAATATGCTAACCCAAAAATGTCTCACACTAACATAGGCTCCAGCCCCCCCGGGACCCTGTATTGGATAAAACGGTTAACAATTGGATGGATGGGCAATGGATGATCTCAATTCATCACCGTGAAATGGTTCTTAGTCTTTTGAAATGTATGGATTTCATGGTGATCTAGAAAACCAGACAGATTAGGACTCTATGGCCCAGGGTGGAGGGGGAGATTGCAGGAATCTCTCTGAAAAGAAAACTAACACATTGTGATGTGATTAATTCTGTAAGTGCTATGCAAAAAGCAAAGAGAACAAGAGCCACTGAACATCAATAGCATTGTGTGAAATGTATAACACAATTATTAATTCATTTTACATAAATCTCAGCGTGCAAACAGTAAGGTTTGGTTTCCCATTCCTTTATGCAAAAACTGCATGAAGGCTGTGACCCACTGAGCTTTGATATGATTTGAAATGCCTACTTTAGCCACTCTGAGATCTTGCTTATCCTTGGAATGCATCGGCTTCAATGTATGTTTACTGTAAAATAAGAAAAACATGATATGTTAATAATGGTATACACCCCAGAAATGCATACATAATTCGGTATGATGTTTTAATAAAATAATACAGCCTACTCTCTATTTTTTATCAGCAGAAATATTTCCCATCAGCCTGTGCGATTGTGCTATTAGAGCCTACGTCTGTTAAAATCTAATCTTGCAAGCCTTGAACACCTAAAGCAGGAGAAAAACATTGTACTTGTAAGCCAATATGGTAGTAATATAGGCTTACATGTCAGTTCTGGCTGCTTTTGGTGAGTACTGTTGCAAAGTAGGTATTTTAGTGCCTTCTGTTATTGTGTGGTCTACTGTACCTGTTGTGCACTATTACCACCTGCCAGCAGAGGTCGCTGTGACCATCCTACCTCCTGAGTGATGGCAGCGGCACAGATGGGTCACAGGCAGGAGGATTAATGATGTCAAATAATTTGGAAAAGATAAATTAATGTTAAGTGCTTAATTATCATTAGTAACTTGTATTACACTAATGTACTTAAATTAGAAAAGTGAATCCAATGTGTAATCTGATATCTTTTCTTTATAGAAAAGAAATGATCTCCAAATTCTCAACACATTTGTTTGTGATGCCTTTTAGGTCGAAAACATAAGTGGCACAACTCTCAGGGCCCTTGGTTGCAGGGCATTATATATCAACTCAGTAAAAGCATTTTGAGTGCTGACTGGGCACACAGTTGTGCCTGTGATTCCCCACACAGCAGCGCCCGGCTGGCCAGACCCTGGGTTGCAGATAGGATGCTGGGGTATGCAGAATTACTTGTCATACCTCATGAACGATGCCTTAGCCCTGTTGTTTGCACTGCGGGTTAACAGTGGGAGAAACCGCCTGACAGTGCATATTTTGGAGAGCGCATGTGTATGATTTGCACATCTCCTCTGCCAGTATGGCTTTCAGTAGTTGGGTTAGGTCCTAATGACTACGACGGGATGGGTTGAGTGCCGTCAAGTCGGTGTCGACTCATGGCAACCCTGTGGACAGTTCCCCGTCACTATCCATAGACTTTTCATGGCAAGATACGGGAGTAGACTGCCAGGCCTCCACGCAGATGGTGCGAGTGTTGTTGCCGTTGTCACGGAATCGTGATCCTCCCCCACCAACACCGCCCCCATACTGCTGCTGCAGCCCGGGATGGGTTATTAGAGAACCTTGCGGCCGACGTGGGACACAAACCCACTACCCTGAGATTATGAGTCTCATGCTCCACCAACAGAGCTAGTTGGGAGCAGTGACTACGGTGGAGGGACATAATGTGTGGGGGTGTTTGGCGTGACTCTCCTAGCTGAGGCAAGGACAGTCTAACCCTGAGGATAAGCTGCCCAAACTCCCTCACTATTGTGGGGATTGAGCTGTGGAGCTGCTACAGGAGTGCAGATGGGGAGGCAGGGGACATGCGAAGGGAAATCCTGGATGTGAGACATAAATATGTAGATCTACTCTTCCTCCTGAACTTCTGTTATGACTCCATTAGTGTTGATTCAGGGTGACAACAATTGCAAAATGAGGGAACAAGACAATTTATTGGGTATTTTATTTTTTAAGAGCTTTTCGTGCCATTGCACGGTTTGCTTCAATTTTTCTGTTTTCAAAAAATGTTCAGTTAAAAATCCACAACTTCTTGGAAGTGAAAATGATGTTGTAAATCATTGTTTCTCCCTCTACATTGTCTAATTTACACCTTTACTACTTTTAAATGCATTCAATCTATAAAATGTTGCTGAGTGAAAAGCACTGATGTCATTGTAATGGGTTCTACTCATGGTTTGTTCTCAAAGTATTTCCACAAACACAGGTTGATAGGAACTTTGGCCACAGTCTTGTTTTAAGATTTGATCATTTTTGGGGGGCATTGTGAGAGAAGATAATTGGCAGTATTTTTAGCAAATGACCTTGACAGGATTAATGACCATTCCTGGTGTCTAATTTACTTATGTTCCTACATTTAAGTTACATTGTGCAATATCTGATACAAGCTACCCTGCTCTGGTCTGCCTTTTTTCAGAATTCATTGCTTTCTTGAAAGCATTGCACGCCTTATTCATTCTTTATAATGTAATCAGTGGTGACTTCGTCTAAGACTTTCCATATTCACCTAAATTGTAAATCATAGGAATGCAAATAATATGGATCCTGTCGTCAGTCAAGAGCTACCATATTCTGTTTGCAATATTCAATCAAGTTGATTCTGATGGGAGATATATATCAACGAATGACTAATGGCGTCCAAGAAACTGGGTGTCTAGATGTATAAATTTGAGTGGGTGAGGCCACAGGGCTGGAGGAAGTGAGAAAATTACATTTATTTTCTACACTCAAAATTGTGAAACTTACAAAATCAAATTGACCATGATTATATGCCGTATAACATATAGTTCATGTTTGTTTCTTTAGTGCTCATAACTGTAAGGATATTATGTCGACTGGAAGGATGATGACTATATTTTCATTGTTTGTTTTAGTGCGCCGAAGATCTCCAGGTTTAGTGCAGTCCATGTTAAAAAAAAAGACTTGTTGGCTGTCAGACATCAGTAGTAAAGATACAGATTTCAATGTCATGATCAGTAAAGACACGATGTCAAATTAACAAACAATGCTAAACTGTTATGCAATGTTATGTAATGTACATAATCATTCGATTGGAGTTTTAACTAAACATAAAATGAAACAGTTTGCCATGAAATGTGGCCACCAGGCTTCAATTCAAATGTTCAGCCTTCGTTGATTTTAAAACACGGAGTCCTCTTGTTAAGGCAGTACTTACGCTGGTCTTAGGGCCCACCTTGGCATTGTTAAGTGTTACAATCGATGTGAGGTAGATTCTCCTCTTCTGAACCCACAGTAATTAATTGTGCGCTGCGCTGGCAGAGACCCAGCAGTTGTTTTCCCTGTTTCTCTACACTAACGGTCTTCTCAGTTCTCTCTTCAAGAGAAAAACAAAAACGAACGCTGTTCACTCACGGTCTCCTCCGAAAGGGCTATTAATGTCAAATGCCCTTTACAGATACACAAATTATTTCATTCGTTCAAATCACAAGAAGGGTACAAAATAGTTCGTAAATGTGAGTTTTCTTAACTGTTTGTTGCATTTCCAGCAAACTGTGACAAATACACCCAAGTGCGCGACAAACTTGCAACCCATTGTGTTTTAGGTGAAGCTTATCCACTAATTTATTACTTCACATCTGCTACAGAAGAACAGTTTATTCAGAATTTTAAAACTTATAAAGCAGGAATGTCTGTTACCTTAAGTCAGGTAAACTCTACGGTGTTGGCGTTCAGCATCCTAATTACCAATGTAGCCTGCTATGAAGGAAAAATTGCAAAATCAGTCATCTTAACACATCAACAGCCATCTGATGTAGCTGCTCTCCACTGATAGTTGAATTGCAGATTATTAAAATTCACTCATAACTTGTAAATGAGGCAAAACCTTAGAAGGACAGCACTTGATTAAGACATTTATCAACACATTTTAGGATTCTTCTGCTCTGTCCTAAAATGCTGCTGTTGCAGCTGCTGAATCATTTAAGCAGTGATTACTGCCACCTAGTGGATTTGTAGTGTATGTCGACTTGCATAGCAAGGCAGCAAGATTTCTGTTTACGTACAGTACGCTACAGATTTATTACTTTGAACTTTGACCACAGTGTAGTTATTTTTATAGCGAAATCGTACCCCTTAAAGTCTGCTAAGGTGTAATTAATAGAGCCTGTAGGTCTGTAGTTTTGATTTTTGTGATAAGAGTGGGGAAGATCTGTATTTTTACAATCACAACCAAGGCATGACAGTTGTCATGAAATAAGACAGCCTGAGGTCAGGACGGACTTTCTAAAGTTTTTAACTTTGTGCAAAAAGGGACTGGGTGGATTGAACTTTTTAGTCTTTCTTCCGGAGTTTCCGTATATGTATAGTATATTTACAGTAGTTGTCCCATACCTGTAAATGAACTGTATATAGCATAGTAGTCAGCTACTGCTGCAGCTGTTGCTGTAAATATATTGAATCTAAATTAATCTAAGGATGTAATTGGGATAATTCTGGTTCCAAGCTACGTCTGATACTCATGGATAAACAAGACTGCTGCCTTGGGTGTAAAAACGAGTCTCAGCTCAGGAAGGGGCGAGACGAGAGAGCCAGCGGGAATCTGCCTCTTTTGTCATTTTCTTAACAAAATGTAAGTGTGCTGTGGCAACAGGAGGAGGAGAGCGTCAGCCCGCAGCGATTTTTCTCCACCTGAAGTGCGCGGAGTCCTGGGGGGGGAGAGAATTCCTAGCAGGTGTTAGTGTTTGTGGAGCTGCTCCTCTATCTTCCCTTGCTAAAGTGACCCCGTTTAAACGGAGAGAAGTGGTTTTAGATGACAGTCATGATGAACGCGGTCATGTTCACTCAATAAAATAAGGCCCAGTGCGTTTGAGGATAAATCAGTGAAATGTACAACCCCACCTGTCTGTCTCCATCATTCATTTCCACTGTCACTTTCGCCATAGCTGATGGATCGCAGTTGCTGTAAAATTAGACAGCCTTTAATCTCATTTCTTCCTGATTAGCCTCACCCTAGCCTTTCCCTCTAACTCACTGGCTGACATGCTGAAGGCTTCCATTATGGCGTGTCTGAGTAAGGGATAATACAGCTTTATCCTTAAATAACGAAAGGAGATGATGTTCCTGGAATGATACACCGCAGCACTTCAGAAGCAACTAGGGGAGATTGACAGGGGCTTTGAGATCGACTGTAGAATTATAATTCGGGCACAGCAGCACAGAGAATTGAAGGGGAATATTCAGTGCTGCTTTTAATATCCAGTGCTTCTAGATTTTGTACAAAAACTGACAACCTGTTTTATTGTGATAAGCAGGCACATTAGTATACACTAGGTTAAATGGTACCTTTGTGGTGAATGTGGTGTTCCAGTTGTGTTCCAGTTGTATCTCCCAGTTGCATGAGCAGTTCATATATATGATACGCTAATACAGTACTGGAATTTTAAAACCTGGTCTTATTTTGATAGCTTTGCCTTACTTTTTATAGCATTGATTACATAAATTGGGAAACTTATAATGTATTATAAGATTTCCAGTCCTACATTAATTCTTGGATATTTCATTCTCATTTAGTTGTCTATTTTTGGGCCTTTATGAAACATACAGTTGTGAATGAGCTGCAAAAATATGTTATTGCTTTGTAAGGAAATAGTAGTCCTCTAAGACAGTAGTCATCTGATGTTGTTTCACTGTTGTATTCGTGTTTTGTACAGTAAAATCACCCACTATTTGCAGTCCTGATACAAGTACTGATACAGTTTTAATATGGTTTAAGTTTTTTAAGTGTTTTTAATTTAAGTCTTAATAGTTTTAATGTCCAGTGTCACTTGGGCATTTTTCCATGTTCTGTATGGATTAATCTGTGATTGATTGCTTCGTATGCAAATGCTTCTACCGACACAGCACTACTGAGAGGGGAGGGGGATTTCCAGCTCTTAAATATCACTTCTTCCCTGGCCTTCATTACCAACTGTAAATGCCAAGATCTTAAGTGAGGAGCCATCAGAAAAATCTGATGAAGTTCTTCCTGTATAGCATGGAACTCTGTATCATCAAGCGATTGTGCAATGTACATTTCAGGTGCCATTTTTCTGCAATTTACTCCCTTAAAATGACAGTGTAAAACTGTTTTTGCTTTTAAATCACGCTTGAAGACGTACTGTATCGTTTTTGATCTTCTGATTTTATCATGTACTTTGAGGACATTTTTTTTTGTCAGAACTAACAATCAAAATAAACCCTTCCTATTTAACAATTGTTTGCAAGTCTAAGATGTCAGCATTCTGAGGTCCTTTGTACGTGAGAGCACTTACATTCAATTTTGTTTTATTTTCCCTTGTGTAGTTATGCCTTATAACAGCGCTCACCATTGTGTTGTTGAGGTGGAGAACTTCTTGTTTCTGCTCGGAGGAGAAGACCAGTGGAACCCAAATGGTAAATCATTGCCAAATATTTTCTTCACTCCCCCCAGAAAAACATTTGGAAAAAACAACATGCTTACAAATGCGTTGAGAAAGTACATTTGGCCTTTTTCAAAAATCTGTTTTTGTTGTGTTTCTCATGCCCATGACTAGTGAAGAAGGTAAAAGTGAATCAGTTCTCTGCCTGCAGAGGAAGTGTAACAGTGGTGAGAAATTAGTTCAGCCCCACCTTTGAGGGAAGTTCAGTCTTCCTTTTCATCAGCCCAGGGGCTGAGTTTCCCACACACACTGTATAGAATCCTTGGGCTTTCGTCTTGTCATTTCGTGTGATGTTTACAGTGGATGACACTAAATCATTTATCTGATGACATTTCGTGTTCAGAGTAATGAATTCACGGAGAACAGGGCTCTTCAAACTGCCTGAGAGCCGCAGGACCTTCTGGCTATCATGCCAGCATGTCTCTCAGTTGTGCAATTGCACCAATCATCCTTTTGATGAGTCTTGATCTACTTGATGTGTAGCCACCAATGGTTTCTGTGATTTGGATGATTTCTCCAACTGTATTTCTTCCCAGGAAAGCACAGCACTAATTTTGTGAGCCGTTATGATCCAAGATTTAACAGCTGGATACAGCTGCCCCCAATGCAAGAAAGGTAACATTGCTTCTGTTGTTTTGTTTCAAGTCAGCCTTTTTCCTGACAGAAATAAGGTTAAACAACTCAGACAGAGTACTTGTAGGTCGTGTCATAACCCAAGCACACGGCTATGTAGTGACTCACGTAGGGACATATTCTTCTTGTTGGTTGTAATTTTTTCATACAAAACTGGCGGGTAACTCTGGTGGCCTATTACAGAGCAGTAATATCGTTGAAACTCTTTAATTTTCTATGAAATAGAAACAATTGCATTTTACATTAAAAACAGTGTTAGGTATTTCCAAGAAAATGCAACACAGACTTGTCACTGGATTTCCCTGTCCGGCCCGGTTTCCATTTGCGTTTTAAATTGACGACCTAGACCGTGCCGTACTTACTTTCGTTAACAGTATTGCCTTGGTTTCAGGAGAGCCAGCTTCTACGCCTGCCGTCTGGACAAGCACCTGTATGTGATCGGCGGGAGGAACGAGACTGGGTATCTGTCCAGCGTGGAGTGCTACAACTTGGACACCAACGAGTGGAACTACGTGTCGTCGCTACCCCAGCCCCTGGCGGCACACGCGGGGGCTGTGCACAACGGCAAAATCTACATCTCAGGTGAGAGACACCCGGCCCGCTGGGTCAATCAGAAATAAAGCTTCAGAATGGGTGGCGAGGTGGTGCAGTGGTTAGCCCTGCTGCCTTGCAGCGCTGGGGCCCTGGGTCCAGTTCCATGGAGTCTGAATGTTCTCCCCATGTGTGGGTTCCTCCTGCATCCCTGGTTTCCTCCCCCAGTCTGAAAGGACACTGGTAGGTGAATTGGTGTGGTGTGGGTGCATGTTTGTGTTTGTGTCTGTGTGTGCGCTGGGATGGACTGGACGCATGGAAGGATGTTCTGTGATCAAGTTGGGTTTTTGTTTTTTATTTCTAAATTGCTGTGACTTTGTGCAATATCACAATAGGTGAACCGCTATGGATAATACAGCACTATATACGTGAACAGGTTTGTGTTTATAGGAATGGTGTTAAACGTTAAGGAATTATTGCCCAAGACCAGTAAAAATCGATTTGTCTTTTTCTCCTGCTTGAAATTGTGCTCATGCTTACAACTATTTGAAAATAAATGCAGTGCCAAACACTTTTACTCACTGAACCTTGAGTTTGACTCATTGATATTTTTAGAAAGTTGTTCATTTAAACTCATCTTATATTTTTAGTCCTGTTTTAGGAAGAAATATTTTAAACCGAATATCTTTGAAATAAGCAATTTCCATCTGTTACAAATAGGCTCATTGTACTTTGAAGAGTATTATATTTCGTCCTTAAAACTGGTGTTCTGCCATTGCCCTCAGTTAAAGGATTAGTGCACTATAACTGCTTTAAGACGAGAACGAACCTCATTGCGTGGTTCGCAAATATTTAGAAGATAAAAATAAAAAATGTAAGCTGGTCTTAGATGCTCAGGTACACTTATAGTGTAAGTCATATACTCATAGCTACTAAAATACATCAATCATATTTTATTACATATCAGAGCAAACCTGCTCTGGAGAATACCAATGTATTTTGGTTTCTTTCTGGCCAAAACCCTTATTACTTATTTTAACTGTTAATTGAGCTAAGGATTATATTAAGTAATATTAAGTTCAATTTTATAACTTGGAATCATAGTTTTTTTTAAAGCCGAGAATGACACTTTAATGGTTCACTAACTAGAGTAGAGGTTAAGATGAAATGACCGAGAGCTCATTTAGGTTTGAAACCAGTGGCCAGTTCCATCCAAGAATACAGGTGATTAACAAATGTGTTGTTAATCACCTGTATTCTTGTTGTATTTGTTGATCAAAGCTGTTCAAGTCACTGTCAAATCAATGGGAAACGTTGCCCATATTTAATACTCAAAGCCACCAGGGCCTGAGGATTGAGGTGTCATATGGACAGTTTTGGCAGGTCCAGCAAAACCAACAGTAGCATGTTACCATTTTGTACAGTTCATGATAGTTTTTTTAATGCTTTTAACCTGCTGGTGGCAGTATTGTAACAATTACATTTGTTTTAAATTGGTTAGCCATTAATATCACAATTAAATTACATCATAGCCATTTCAGAAGACTTGCAAATTGTAAGAAGGCGCAGCAAAGTCTGTGCTGAGTAAAGAGAGCTTAAGAAAAAGATCTGTGGGAAAGAATATTCCGTTCTTCTGAGTCATCTTAAAAGTTTCCATAAGCAGTGTTATACAGTAGGTCTGCAGCTCAGCCTTGCTTCAAGGTTCGTCTATTTTACCCCTCAAGCATTGAAATTCTTAAAAGTGTTAAAAGTATACCAAGAAAATGTTAAAAGTATACCATACAAATATGAAATACAGTGTTTGTTTTCTTATGAGGTTACTTTATATTCATTACAGTTATCTTAAGGTATCTTAGGGTTTAGATATAAAACCTAAATCCTGCATTGTCTGGGGTCCTGCAACATAATAGTGACATTGAGTATCCCAATATACCAGAAGACCCCTGGTTAAATATGTAACTATTCACAAGCAGTCCTGCAAATATTTCTATGTGGGGATTTACTTTATTGACTTAGAGGCATATTGCCCATTTTCTAAGAGTCTTGTCACTTGCTTTGTTTGTATGTGATAGAACTAAGATAAAGACTGCATAACATAGTTGTTTCCCATGTTAAAAGGTGAGTGAGTCTGATTAGTATTATGTCCCAGCAGAAGTGTTTTAAGGTCTTTTTGTATTGTCTTCTTTCAGTCGGGCAAATAAATGATCTCGAGTTTATACAGTATATGTATTTTGATGTCTGATGTCTTCTATGAAGATTCAGTTCAAAGAGGGTATCAGAAATAATGTAGAGATGGAGGGAAACATCAAGAACATGCATCTCATGCAATTAATCTTGACAAAATGAAACAATTCCTAGAAGATTTAAGGGCTCTTTTTAGACGCTCACGAGTTCAGCGTTTTTACAAAGTGTAGCGCCTTTGTAAATCTTCTTCTGGCTTGTGTAGAAAAACCTGCAAATCTTTATCCCCACACAGCCAGAATTCCAGCTTGGATCGCAGTCATTCGGGCCGTTATATTCCTACAAGCCCCCCACAGCTGGGGCGCTGCACGGGGGACTGTCAGACAGATACAGTACATGACTAATGCCTGTGCGCTCAACTTGCAGGGGGGGTGCACAATGGAGAGTACGTGTCCTGGCTGTACTGTTACGACCCAGTGATGGATGTGTGGGCCAGGAAGCAGGACATGAACACAAAGCGGGCCATTCACGTGCTCGCCGGAATGAACGATCGCCTGTACGCCATTGGTGGAAATCACCTGAAAGGTGAGCAATCTGATCGGGCAGGAATGGAGCTGCAGTCATCGATCCGCCTGGCCTGTAAGGGACTTCGAAAAACAACAGAAGAGTTCCAAACCACCCAAAAAGATCCCTATTGCATGAAGTGGGGAACGCGGTACTAGAAATGAATACGCCTTGGTTAGCCGCCGTCTAAGTATGGGAAACCTTCAAGGCTCCAGATTTGCTCAGATAAAACAGGAGTGTAGGAAACGGACACGGAGACAAAGCACATCTGTCCTCCGTCAAAGGCACACATGAACAGATTGCTTCCCCCACTCGCCTGCTGCAGTGTCTCACCTGAGCGCGTCTTTGCCTGATGAAGCGAGTGTGAGCAGAATGATGTGGCTGCTGATCTGTGAAGTGGATCTGTGCATGGAGGTTGGCAGATTCCTCCAACATCCATTACCCCACTTAAAACTGCGGCCCGCGAGTGGGGCTTATTATTCCCCCCAGTCTTCACTGGAATTCTGTCTTGACCTTGGCGCTCATGCTGTCCTTGATTAGTACTGTCTGCGCACTATCGCAGGCTGCTTTTATCCAGGGAGACTTACGGGTGTTACAATGGGCCTTCTTGGAAATACAGATCTGGTTCGTATTTACACAGCTGGGTTTGCAGGGGAAGTGGAGTCCTTACCTAGTCAAGTGTTTGATGAAACTGCACAAATAGCACATTGTTCTGAAGTGATATTGTCATCGCCTGGGAGTTTTTCTTTGTGATTATAATTACTTATTCATTTGACTGCGTACAAGTGATAATGTAATATCATTATCTGTAATAGAACATTACAAACATAAGAACAGTTACAAATGAGAGGAGGCCTTTCAACCCATCTAGCCCGTTTGGCAGTTAGTGCCTACTCGAACGTAGCTTGTTCCATACATCCACAGCCCTTTGGGTAAAGGAATACCTCGTGTTCTTAGATTTAGATGCAGTTCCATTGAGTTTCCTCTCTGTCCTGTGGGGTAACTTTGTCAGTGAATTTTAGAATCCCGAATCGAGCCCTTTCGTTGTCTTCTTTGTTCTGGATTAAAAAGTTCAGTTCCTTCAGCCTGTCAGTGTAGGACATTCCCTTAAGCCCTGAAATGTATCTGGTTGCTCTTCTCTGGACTGATTCAGGAGCAGCGATAGATGTTTCACAACTTGGTGACAGAAATTGTACACAACATTCTTAACTGGGGTCTTGCTAATTTTTGATACTATTTTAACATAACATCCCTTGACTTCAATTATGCTATTCACTGAACTATGCTTTTAACTATATATCCTAAACCTCTGTGTGCCTTTTTTAATAGCTTACCCTGCCTCTTCTAGAAGATGTAAATGATCTGTAAAGACCTCTGCTTATTTAGAAGTGGCCTCATCTAGCTCAGTGTTTCCAATTTTTTTAGGATGTTTTTGCGACCTGCACTTTTTTTCATTAAACTTCAAGTGCCAGGTGTTTGCCCAGTTTTGAATGTTTTCTAAATAGTTTTGAATTTCATTTGCTACATCTATAGTGTAGGTTGCCTAAATTAGTATTATATGCATATCTGCCTAGTGTACACACTATATGAGAATCTAGATCACTGATATAATTGAAATAAGAGAAATGTTCCTTGACAGATCCCTGTGGTACTTCACTCTTTAACCCAAAACCCAATTTGAGCTTTAATCCCTATCTGTGCTGTTTTCTGTCTTTTAACCAATTCTTAATCCAAGCACACACCTACTGCCTCTAATTTGTAACTTAATCTTTATATGAGAAACTTTATCAAATCCTTCAGAAAATCAAAATACACCATATTATATACTCCGTGTGTATCCATTATAGCTTGTTGCTTGTCATATGCCAAGCTGCTTAGTATAACCTGCTTTTCTAAATCTATGTTAACTAATCCCTAGTATCTGATTGCCATATAGGTGACCCACTAATTGTGTTTTAACAATTCCTTCTATTACTTTACTTGTAAAATAAGTCAGATACTGTATATCAGTTTAAAATTACTTGGTTCAAATGTTGTCACCCTTCTTACTGTATGTTCTTGGTTATACAGTGTTGTGCACAAATGTCTCTAGTATCTGAAACAAGGAAGAACTTTGTGTGTTTTTCTGCTACTTCCTTTAGCGGACCTGGCACATGAAAAATGGCAGGGCAGTTTGGATTTGTCATGTGTCACCATCAGCCATAATGCAGTTCTGAGATTTATATGTTCTTTGGCCATCTGCCCTTTACAGTCAGATAACTGGTTGTTTGTTTTCATTAATTGTTTGAGGCATTTCAATTCCAAGTCTAAAGCATGGCTTGTAGCAAATACCATAAACAGTTATGTCAACTGTGGCCTTTAGTCAGCATGATGTTGCATGAGTCACCTTGTTAATGATGCATGCATGAAAGCTAATTTTACCACATGATATTCTCATCTTTATTTTCCATAGACATTGGCCTTCTGAACAGTTACATTTGTTTAAGTGGGCTTTCATGTAGTTCAATTGCACAATTACAGAATATAGTTTAATTACATTATAAATGCCCAGTGTTACCTTGTTAGGTTAGAAAAATGAGCGCCTTGCAATTCAGTTCAGTGATGAATTCATGGTCTGGCAGCTGAATCTGGACATAATACCTCCAAGTATCATGGAGAATTACTGGAAAAAACATGTAGAACAATACTGTACATCCTCTGGATTTCCTGTAAAGAGAAAGAATACCAATATAATACAGCTAGCAAAAGAGACTGGAGACAGACAGCTAATATCCTGTGCATAAAAATACAGCTCTTCCTGCAACAAGCTAACACTTCTTTGCTTCATCGTGACATTGATAAATTCACACAAATGACATCCGAAAAATCCCATCCTCCCCAAAAAGCACACATGCACGATCACAAACATGTATACAGTATATATATATATAAAAAAATATAGACCTCTTTTCTGTTGCTTTGGAAGAAAGGTCTTGTTTCTTTCAGTGCTAAAGACAGGCTGAGCAATCTCTGGAATTCTGACGGTTCGAAGGGCCTTCTTTGTTTTAGATGCGTGTAGGTAGCTGTGGGCTGAACTGCTCAAAGCTGCGGCATGATAGTTCGCAGCATTCTCTGACAGCAGCTGCCGGTTGATTTTTTTGCTCAGGGTTTTCCCACCTCGACGTCATGCTGGTGGAGTGCTACGATCCCAAAGGTGACCACTGGAACATCCTCCAGACCCCGATCCTGGAGGGGCGCAGCGGCCCAGGCTGTGCCGTGCTGGAGGACAGCATCTTCCTGGTGGGAGGGTACAGCTGGAGCATGGTAATGACCGCGCCGGCCCCGCAGCTCCGCCTCTGCCTGCGGGCTCCTCTGTTGTCACGCCAGTGTCGTTTAGGCCCGGCCGCCCTCTTCTGCTGGTGTCATCGAAGTCAAGTCCAGGCGGTGGTCCCAGGATTCCTCTCCCGGCTTGCTCCTAAACCCGTGCCGGAGATTAAACTGCAATCCGACAGGAAACCAGGACAATCCTGGAAAGCCGGCAAACTTATGATCCCCGCTTTGGATCTGTTCTGTTTTAAATAGTGGTGTAGTTTCCACCTGTGTCTTCTGGCTCTGAAGATGAGGGGAACATACATTGAAAAACGTCTGTTGTATCACACCATGCATTTTTTCATCTTTCAATGTGTTTAGCACAAACCTGGACATTCAACATTAGAACAATACAAACAATGAAATGGTAAAACTTACTGCAGGATATGATTCTATAGATAGACAGCAGAAATGTTAACACAATATAGGTATATTTTACATGTTTACAGTGAATGTGTGCGTGAAATTAGCAAATTACATTAGCAGTCAACTACATATATCAGTTAAAACACAGATGATATTTAATACATGCAAAAATAAAAGATCAAAACATTGGACATTTGCCTACTGTTATGTTTAATGCACTTTACAAGTCATTATTCCATTTTGTGATTGTGGCAAATCATATTTCTGATTCAGACAAAACCATTTGAGCCAACAAAATCAATAACACAATTCTGCATTTCTCAAAGCCAGTGAACATTTTGGCACCAGTATTCTGGGAAAGATGTAGAAAGGTTTGTGTATAACCATCTAAAAAGGAGCCTGACTGTTCTTGGGTAGACCATTTATACAGAGTCTGTATTTATAAAGGACAAGGTGTCCTCTCCAAAACAGAATGACTCATAATTTTAAAAATCTAACATTAAGGTACAGTAATTCTAAATGGTACTATAACAGTGGTTGGTTGATCTCCCTGACTTCTTTATTGAACTATACATAGTTTTCAGTTAGAGGGAGTGTGTATAATAAACACAGAATCTCGAAGTCTCTATGGATGTTTTAATAATACTGTGTGGGCATCGTTTCTGAATTCCATCAGTAGGAGTAAGTCAGGAATATTTCAATTTTGTACGTCCTGCATTGTAGGCTAGGGAGTGAAGCTCAGGGCTCCTTTTTAAGGCCTTATTATTTAGAACACAAAAGCTATTATGCAGCCAGAAGTACTTTGCAGCCTAAGCTACTTTCTGAAGCTCGTTGCACAACCTTCACATTAATTGCATGAGAAAGTTTATGGATGCCTTTGTAGCATTAGACAAAACAGGCTGGTCATCTGACATAGCTTACAGTGAAACAGGGCTGCATTCACCCAGATTCAGCTGATTTATTGTCAATTCTGTTCCTGTGCAGGGCGCGTATAAATCATCCACCATCTGCTACAGCCCGGAGAAGGCTACGTGGACGGAGCTGGAGGGAGATGTGGCCGAGCCCTTAGCAGGCCCAGCCTGTGCGACAGTGATCCTGCCAGCTTGTGTGCCGTTCAACAAATAACTACAGTGTTTCAAAGGGAAGGATGTGTAGTGATGGGTAACAGGACTATCCATGAGCAACACAGCATTACCTTAAATCTTTGTGCTCGTTACCAGTTCCTCAAAACGGGAGAGTTAATGGGAGTTGTATAATTTTTTTTACAGCATTGCAGTGACCAGGTTATTACTTAACCCAGTCATGTTTAATCATTTTCATGTTTTTTAAGACATTATCCTTGTTAAAATTCAGAAGCCGTCCAGCTGTGCTGTCATCGTTTCTTTATAATATTGAAATGAGTTGTGGTGTTTAGTGATAGGTGGAGAATTCCCATAACATGCTTATAATTTAACCTCCAAATGCCTCTTAAATTCAATCATAACAATAGTTCCTGATGGATAAAGCTGATGATATATAATAAAACATGGAGCTTTATTACAGCAGTTAGAATATTGAACCCTTGAATGTAATGACTCACGTCGTAACACCACGTAACTCTGAGTCTTTTGCAGCTACTGTCCTAGATGAAAAACTGAGAAAAGTCATTTTATAAAACAAATTATATCTAAGAAAGGGAATTTTAACACATTAGGGCCCCAACTAAATGTTTTAAACTGTGTTTTATAACGTGAACAGTCTTTTAACTATGGTTTTTGTGTGATATTTTGTTCAAGGTAACCTATTATACAGTAATATGACAGATACATAATTGAGAGTTTGGTTTGCTGGGAAGAGGAAGAGAAAGATGTTTCATAAAGCTATTTTCAGTTATTCCAGAAACCCCTTTCTCTAGACACAGCACAAAGAAACACATTTCTCACATATCACAAAACAACTACAAAAGCAAACTACATTCGGACATAGAGACAAGAGCAGGTCATATCATTCAAGGCTTTCCCACCCTTCAGAAGTATGTTTTAAGAAGTATGGAATTAAAGTTTTAACTTTTTGAAAGTTGATCATAACATATAATTGACAGTCGAGTTTATGGTCAAGTAAACAAGTTGAAATATTATTGATGATAGTGCATTTGGATGAGTGTATAACAATGCTGATAAAGATATGATCTTTTATAGATATTCCTTGCAGCAACAGTTGAACATCACACGATGGCTGGTTCCATCTCACATGAGTTCTGTGCTTTTCTAGACGGCACTGTGTTTGTTTAGATGGGTCCCAGATTTGCATGTAGTAGTGGGAGTGAGCAAAATATGAGCTGAATATTCCTTTTCTAGACCATGTTGAATTGCTACAGATGAGAGGAACACAAGACAAACTGCTCCACCCCACCTCTCTTGTTCCTGTTATAGGTCTAGGGCCCTGTTGCATCAGACAGGGAATGAAACACAATGTGATTTCAATATAGGCTCCATAGTATGTCAAGAGGGTTAGCTAATACAAGCTTTGCTGTTCTGGAGAGACTTGAAGAAAAGTATGATTTAAACTGCGAGTATGATACTGCACGATTTGTGAACTGTGTTATACTGCCCATTCTGCAACACAGTCCAAGAAGATAAAACCACATAATACAGTATGCAGTTTGCTAAATAGATATTTTGTGGGCAGTCACAAATGTCTCCAATAACATTACAAAGTCACTTAATCTGGCTGCCCATGGTGTTGTTTTACAATGCTGTACGACAGCCTTTTTATTAAAATCCGAATTAATCAATACACAAATAATGTTCTGTAAAATTAAAATAATTGGTAAACATGCTATGTAACGCAGTGAACAGAGCTGGTTAAACAGCTGTACTGTAAACAAAAAGACAAAGGATATAGATTATGTCATAGTAAAAACAGGGGTATTTAATAACAAAGTGAAACTTGGTTGTGGTTCAAAATCTCATGTAATTTCACTTAAGTTCAAATGTATGTAATTCATTTTACATGCATGGAAGTGGTCACAAGTGGCATTCAGCATCTATTAAAATAGTAAATTCTATTTTTAGGTATTAGTATCATTTTGTTAACCACATATAAATCATACAAACCTGTCAGGTTTATTTTTTGTTTGCTGTATAAGGAAGATGTCAGTGTTTTGTTTCATAGGGAAAAGTGTTTTCTCTTTCAAGTAAGATCCAGTCATTTCCTCTTGGGACTTGTATCATCACTGCTCCTCATGCCGAACGGCAGACAGAGACGTCGCCCAGAATCCTCTAGTGAATTCAGTGAGGTCAGGAACCTGGAATGGCTCATCGCGATTAACTGTGTTTCACTGACATGCAGTAGTATTGGGTTTTTTTTTTGTTGTTGTTGTTGAATTGAGGGCTTATTTTCTTGAGCCTTATTAGAAAACAGGATTAGAAACATGTTTTTAATGAACATGACCTTCACCCAGTCACTTTTGTCCATTTCTGTTCCCCGGATACCCTGCGTGTTCAATAGCAGGCTTCTGCTGCCTACAGCCCAATCAGATTTCTGATCCTTACCTCTGGCTTCTCGCAGTTCAGCTCATTGCAGCGTGGGTACAGAGCATCGCCAAGAGGCAGTGCCTACACTTCATCTCAAAGGGACCACTTTCACCCTGGTGATATTACCCAGGCTCCCTGACAGGAAGTGTACAGTAGCTACTACCTTTCCAGGTTGCTGGCAGCCAGCCTTGTTAAGGTATTGTTCATAAAAAATGACGACAAGCTGGAATGTCAGCCCAGCCCAGACTTGATTGAATGGCTTTGGCACACATGCTCAGCATGATGGGAACAGTGACAGTGCATTTCCCAAACGGTTTCTGATTTTTTCAGGGGCCCAGGGTTATGACACATAATGTACTGTAGCACTAAAGGCCAAGTGGGAGGGGGGGGGGAGGGTTTAATGTAATAAAACCAGAGCCCTTTCATTTGTGTTTTTGTACATTCTGATTTATTATACCTTGTATTGTGGTTCAGTGTACAGTGTCCTCACTGTTGCCCATCACTATGAAAAAAATGCAATGCCAACTACTACCTTAAAAAGGTATGTTACTGTTCTGTGGTTTTTATTAATATGGCTTAAGATGTTCTGTAAATTCTTTCTGTCTTTCAAGACATAAAAAAGGCATGAAATATCGAAACTGATGGAGGAGGGAAGAGTGGATGTAAATTTTGTACAGTATTAGAATGTGTAAATGAAGCTTGCTTGTTGAGAAAGAACTTTAAATAAAACTTTATGTAATAACCCGAATTCTTTCAATTGCTTCTTCACATGAATGACTGCTTGTTAGGATGCAAGCTGTTCACTCTCTTGGGCTAAAAATAGAGTACAGCACTAAGGTTCGCGAGCTTTGGGGATAAGGTGATCTGAAACAGGACACCACAGTAATGGACAGTCCTGCGGATAGTGACACTGCCTGTTCGAGAAAGCCAATACCTTCTTAGTGTCACCTGAACCCTTCTATGGAAGTAACAAAGTACAGTATGCATGTATAACCCTAAATGACTTTTTTTTTTTATTTACTAACATGCTGTTGTGTATTGGTATGTTTAAGTCCTTCAATTTGCAAAATGACAGTATGATAACCTGTCTTCAAGGCCCTGTTTTGATTCTTTATTCTATTTAGGATTCTCCTTATAATTATAAGGTACACAACTGAATCTAGTCCTAAAACATATTTAAATAAGCAAAGTTTAACCTGCTTGGCAGGTCACGCTGTTTACCAAAGAAAAACAGTTATGTCACGCTCAGAAAAACAGGTCATTTAAGTTTAATTCTTCTTAATGAGATTAGATTTTCTAAAACCAGAAAATGGTTACATTTTGGCTGTGTGGAGGTCGGTTTCACAGCCCTTTGAATCTGATGATGAGATACTGCAGCGAACTGGCACACTGTTGAGTTCAAACAAATAACACAAAAGCAACAACGCCAACAAATAGCTACAACGATAATCATACGATTGACGAGGGTCATATAGTAATAAATCATATGACAAAATAGTTCATTATCCAACCTAAAAGTTTAAGTGCGTGTAGAAACTCCATAGATTTAGGGACACGATTCCCAAATCCATGGTCAAAATATAAGGTAATTGGACATGAGAACAGAAACCAAAACCCTATTTCCGTTTCGTTTTCTTTTCTTTCAAACCGGGGACTCTCAGGTGTCGTCGTCTCAGAAGTTAGGCTTGGCTGAACCGCCCACCCAGAGCCGCAAATCGCTGAAACCCAGGAACTTCCTGAAACAGGAGCGAAAATAGCCTCCGGCAGAAGGATTGACGGATCAGGCGTCAGGTCGTGAATTATTGCACAGGAGTACCTCTCTCCGCGTTTCCCAACTGTAACATTCCGTTGTCACATTTTTTTTCTGTTTTTCACGTTATTGCCAGAAACACAGACAGTAGCTAACCTCTAACACCGGACCGGCGTATTGTAAAAATAAAAAAGTAAGAATTTATTCTGCATGATTGGAATACAGACCCTCTGTAATTTGGCGTTAAATTCGTTTCTTGAACATAAATAAGCCAAGCAGATTATAATGCGCCTTTAGAAATGTCTTAATTCTTGCTTTTAAAATGGCTTGTTCTGTGAAATAGGCGTATGTAACCTTAATTAAGATACCCAGAATGCATACGTAAGTAATGTCCTAATAAGTGCCGGAGAACTGGAAAGTTAGGGATGGAGGAATGGACAGAATGGCTGATTTCTTGTTATTAAAAATCATTTTGGTCGGAGACGCTTTGGTTGGGAAAACCTGCATACTACAGAGATATGTTGATCACAGCTTTGACCATTCGTATGTTTCTACTATTGGTAAGTACTCTAAATGTATGTACAACGAGATGTTCTTTTTGTACACCTTTCGTTTGCGTTGTACATAGCATGTTCAGGGGAAATGATGGGGTTATTTCGCCACCCGAATTGGATTTTCCATCCCTTTTCCAGTCTCAGACGTGTGTTTCTAAGGGACTGTTCTACTAAGATGAACGCACTGGCACTAGTTACGGTATCCACGAGTCTGTAGAATGAGAACAACTGTGTTTGCTGTGCATATTTCAGTTTTAGTGCAATTTCCATACTTTGATCGTATCAACACCAGGCAGGCTTTCAATTTTTCAGTTTAAACTACGCATTACTTGGACAGTTGGCTTTAATAAGAAAAGTACAAATACAGTAATAACTTTGGATGTATTTGTCTTCACTTTCGGTGGTTATCATTCGCACATGCACACAGACATAACAGGTGTAACGAAACTTTCTTTTGGCGTTATAAAACTTTAGACCTCTAGGACTTTAGGGTTTATTTATCTTCCCACGTACAACAAAATAAAACACATTTTGAATTAGAAGCATTTCCGACGATAGCACCAGCTGCTCGTTTTTCGCACGTTTGCCCACAAGCCTCTCTGCTGCATAGTCGTGTTATGCGATGAGGTGGTTTCGCGAAAAGAACGAGTCGTGTTAATTGGGACTTTAAGGTCTGAGTCGAAACAAATACATGGTAGGACGCCATAATCTTTGATTTAAAGGAAATTCACCACTTATTGTGCTCCCTTAGAGGATTTATTTTAATAAATTGTGGCTAACAGATAAAACATACATTTTTTGCTTAGGCATTAAGAGACTTGTGGACACGAAGTCTAGACTAAGCAGCGTTGTTTTCTGTGCCTAATGCAATTCCTTGTAGAACTGAAGAACCTGTGAAGTTCTGCTCAAAGTGTGGATGAAGACTGTTTATCATACTCTGTATGAAAGGAATTTCACAAACGTCTTAAAAATAAATAAGGTGATTGGAAAACTTTCGTTACCAAGCTGACCTCATGTGAGCTTGACTGAAGAAATCAGTAATGGCCTGCAGGAGAGCTCAGAAACCCTATTCCAAAAATGGGAATTTGGCCTGTTTGTGAAACACAGCAAGAAAACACTAAAAGTCTATTCCATGATGAAAAGAAAAGGCTGTGGAGCCTTCTTCTGGAGAAAGGATGCTTAGAATCTAGATTGAGGGAAACCACTACCACTGTCTTCAGTCCCCTGAGTCTGGGGACTCGGAGTCTAAATCTGACAACACACCTGTCTTCAGGTTTACATCTCAATAGAGCTTAAGCAGAACTTAGGTCACAGCTTTTATCGAGGTGATTATTGATCGAATTGGTGATTATGGAATGAATGATCACACCTCAAACAGTTGTTAAGCAAACAAACATAAAATTGTATGGTACGTGAAATAAAAAAAAAAGTTTGTCTGCAGCGGACTAAGGGGCCACTCGCTTGTCGAAGGAGGAAAAATATTGTTTCCATATAACGTGAACAGATCATGCACTAATATGTTTGCATTTTATGTAAATGAAGCAGATTCACCGTCGACATAATGTAAGTGGACATAATGTAAGTGAAGCCCACCGAGAGTCAGGATGAAGTAAGACATAGAGGACAGTTCCTGAGCACCGTGGTCCATGTTGGTTAGAGGAAAAGTCTTTGGGTTAGTGGATAGCCGTCTCTTTAAAATCAAATCAAATCTTACCATGTAGTCACAAGAGAGCACAATTAAGCATGATGAATACCTTGAAGAGTACAGTTTCTAAATAAGGGTGTTGAATCGGCCTTTGCATTTCAAAGTATGGTGCAGCATACAGATAGAGGATGTTTTAAGGGAAACTTGTCTTGTGTGCATGCACTTAAAATCTAAAAATCGAATGCTCCGAGGGTCGTGATTAAACACAACACAGCTGAAACTTTGAATATTCATTGTACAGACCCCATTCTCAAATAAATCAAGCCTAGAAAGAAACATTTGATTTTTTCTTCCTTTTCACAATCAATAAAACTCAGTTTCTGTGTTTCTAAAGTGCTTCCGACTCTTAGATAACATGAGCGTCAATGTCATAGTCAGGGTGTTCTCCTTGCAAGAATTAATTATTCCTCGGATTCACAAAAAACACGATCAGCTGTGTGTTTATAGTTACATTACAAATGTAAATTATAAAATAAAATGGAGAATTTAAGCTTTACTCATATTTTTGAATAAAAAATAATTATTTGAATGTTTAAATAATTCGTATAATTAATACGTGATTTCAGTGTGTAACGAGATGAAAGAAAAATGTGCTTGCCAGGGATATTTTTGTAACCAACCGATATCTACAGTATATGAAGGATTAAGCTGTCTAACAAGGACATGACTGCAGGGGTCTGGTTGGTCTCAGATAACTCAGCTAACTTATCAAACAAGCCATCATTTTAATTCACAAGCTGAAGTTTCTGTGACACTTAAGTAATACAGTAACTTGCACTTTCTCAACATTTCTCAAACAGGCAAAAGAGGAACATACTGTACTGAACTCTAATTGTCTCTGTGCCATGTTTGGTTTGGGGGGTTTTAAGAGTGGGATGAAAGTTTTGCATTTTGACAAGAAGTTCCCAGAAGAACTCTTAAAATCTTCTCTGGGCTCGCAATATTATGTCTTTATGGTGCTCGGCACCAAGATATTTTTGATAGAGTACCCCCTCCCCCTTCATTCTTAGGAACTGAACTGAAAATGAAAGACAAGTGCATTGGCTACCATCTGCCTGTGAGGATGTAGACAGATGGTAGACATTGCACTTGTCCTGGCGGCTGAGTGCCTGCTCACCAGTGGAACATATTCTGCTTCCTACTTAGGTATTGATTTTAAAGTGAAGACGTTACATGTAAATGGCAGATTCATTAAGCTACAGATCTGGTAAGTTCCCTGATGGTAAGTTTGGCATTCTTTTTTCCCTAACGTGGTGTATACTTGTCTAAATGTGTATGTGTTTATTTCTTTAGTGTGGATACAGTATATACTGTACTCTATGAGTTCAGTCAGTTTGAGGTTTGGTATTGTTATAAAATAATACAAATACTGGCTTACGAAATATGGGGCCCATCACTGTTTGTCATTTGATGCTTTCAAGTTTTAATAATAGAAAATCAAATGCAGGATTGAGCTGTTCGTCGAAGGAGGAAAAATATTTTTTCCATATAACGTGAACAGATCATGCGCTAATACATTTGCATTTTATGTAAATGAAGCAGATTCACCGTGGACATAATGTAAGTTTTGGGTATTTTTAAACAATATTGTATAAACTGTATAAAAATATTTTCTATTTATTTATATTTATTGTACCACATGTCATGGGGTTCAGTGGTGCTGAGTGTTGCTGTAGGTAATATCACTCCTTTGGAATCTAGATAGCAACGAATTCTTCCTAGGCAGGAGACCTAGTCTTAGGGCATAGCAGAAGTCTTCGCTGTCAGCTGAGTGGCTCTGTGAGGCTGGAGCCCAAGAATGGCCGTGATCGAATCTCATCATAGTCACACTTCTAATTTTCTAACTTCAGTAGTACCCATAAGAGATAGACATTAGTACAGCAGCTGTAAAACTTAAATCGTTAAATGATAGCTATGCAACTGACATCAGCAGTATGGCAACTGACATCAGTAGCAGACAATGGCCGTAGATAATTTTATGAAATTAGCAAAGCAAGCAAGAAAAAAAACACTAATAAAAAATAAACTACATATAGAAAATGGAGCTCATTGTTTGATTAAGTGGTAGTGAAGAAAGGAGAAAGCATCTGACCATGGTGTCACTGTAAAGGCCAATGTTTATGCTGGAGTAAAGGAGCAGCCTGAATGTCCTGAGATGAATGCATCAGTGGGCGGTGGAAAAGCAGGCCAACAGGCCAAACAGTCCAGGTTTGTAGTCGTAGCAAGCAGGGTTCAAAGCCAAGTGACACTGGACAAAACCACCAAAAGCAGAATCCAAAAGTCAGGGATGAGGCAAGCAAGGAAGGTTCGTAACTAAGGGAATCTCAGTTCAGTAGTAGAGGTGAATATCTGAGAGTCAAGGTAAAAAAAAAAAAGCTGGGTTAAGAATCCAAGCAAAACTCAAGATGGAGAAGGAAACGTTACCATAGAACCCAGAGTATTGCCAGATCAGACCTTACGTAGACTGCTCCAGCTGAGACAGAGGAAGTTGTAGTTGCTCACAGGTGAAACAGGCTTCCTGTCTGATTGTGTAACCATGGCAACCAGCATGAACTGATAGTTGAAGAGGGCCGGCTGCCACAGTAAACCTAGCTTTCTCCACAGTGTTCCACAGGGAGTGAGTATGACAGTCATGATTTCTCATTAAATTTCTGGTTAGGTTTCACCCTAGCCATACTTTGTTCCTTAAGAAAAATGTTACTTCTGATTGCAACCAATTGTAATCTAACGGTATCCATCTCAGCCTCCACCCAGCCTCGTAAGATAAATGATTTAAGCATTTGGGAGCTCAGGAGCAGAGTCACACCAGATACCTCTGAAAGCACATTAGTCACATCTGCCCAGAAATGCTTGTCCCAGGACATTCCCAAAATATACAAATATGGAAAAGGTATACCCTGATCAACAGTGACAGAGATGGTTGGGAGCAGTCATTATTTGGAGCTGGTAGAATTATGTTGTATGTATTCTGTGAGCAATTTTTCTAAACCAGTAAATGCATCAAGTCAAGAGGATGAATTTAATTTTTATCAGATGAAGAAAGATCAGAATACTTTAATTTCAGGTGAATTGTGAAAGCTGCTTTTAAGATGTATGTATGATGTATGATGACCATGTCTTTACACACATTTTTCTCGCTAGCGTGATAGTGTCCCATCTGATAGGATGAGAGCTCAATGTTTGCACAGCAGTTGTTACTCTGCCTGTATTGACTTTATGACCTGCACTATTGAAAGGGATACAGCTGGGCAAGAACGGTTCCACACCATTTCCACCCGGTATTTCCGCGGAGCTCACGGTCTGCTTATCATCTACGACATCACCAACGTGCAAAGCTTCGACAACGTTGTGGGATGGACAAAAGATGTTGATACTGTAAGTCTCCTTCTTAGAAGACGGTGCCATCATGATGCAAATTAAAGTACTTCACTTTTGTGATACACATTAAGATACAGCATCATCATTGCCCACATTGAAGACGGAGTTTTTAATATCCCCAGCGGGCATTTTGTTTTACAGCAGCAGACAATGTAAAGAAAAACCTGCAAATAAACAATACTTTCATACATGCACGGGAGAAGCATCTGTTGAACAGGGTTATGGCCACAGTTATAAATGAGAGCTTAAATCTGTTTGTTTTTAGATGGGGAAATCTTTATCTGCATTTTGAGGGGCATAACTGGAATTCATTAAACAAAGGTGTGAAGGGTCCTCTAGGATGGAATATCCTTTACATTAAACTCGTAACTGATAGATGTGGGATAGGGCCTAAGGAATGACTTTCTGACATAGTTTGACTCTTCAGTTTGTTCTTACTGCTCAGAATCAGACTCTCAAACCACCAAATCAGGGAAAAGCAGGTTCTAGACTGATAAAACATGATCAACAACGAATTCTCAACCTCAGAATGTATAAGCTTTCTTGATAAAAATAGACACAGTGGCCCTTGTTTGAAAACAGAATTGAAGTTTGCCTCAAAATTTAACTTAGTCTAGAACAGTCCCTAACTACTCATATTTATTGAAATACAGTATCATCCACTATCGCAAACCTGCGTATTTCTGGTACAGGCAACCTGGATCCTTTCCTGGAACATAGAACATAGAGTAGGTTCTAAACCATGGACAAGCCTCCAGTCTTATACGGAGCACACCCCTGGGGACAATGTGGAGATACCAGTTAACCTATCCAATGTACAGTATCTGTCTTTTTATTGCAGGAAGAGGCAGACTGGAATAGTATAAGAATTCTATTCGAGAGGATTTGGGTGTCCTTTGTAGCCTTTCTGATGTTAAAAATCTCTACAGAACAATAGTTGGCTGGCCTTCCTCTTCCTTAGATTTTTCTTATCATCATGACCAGGTTCCTAACATATTTCCATACAGTAGAGCTCTTTGGAAATTCTTTCAAAAATGTACTAGACAACAATATGTGTTCTTTCACGATGCTTACATGACTTGTAGAGAATGGACTGGACCAAAAAATAGTTCAGATTAATTGAAAGGGAAAGTAAAGTTTAGGAATGAGATGTTCATTTATGTAATACTGCAGTTGTATGACTTTGTTGTATTGGTTTTTTTAGAATGCGGGAGAAAATGTTGACAGAATCATTTTAGGGAACAAATGTGACCTGGAAGATAAGCGAGTGGTGTCGAAGGAGAAAGGACAGCAGGTATGTGTCTGTAGTTTGGTCAGTCTAAGTCACTGTATCCTAGAAATTATTTCAGTGGATTTCCTTGTCTTATCTGTGTTGGCAAATCAAATCAGGAGACACACTCTCTCAGCAGAGTTGAAATTCAACAATTCCTTACGAGTGTAAATTGTCAGCTGCCGTAGAAAGTGAGATTCACTGTAATGGTCTAAGATTTGGTAAATGACTGCAACACAGCATTATAGTTTTTGATATATTTCTATAATATTCATAATGGCTGTGATGGTCTGCACTGCTGCCTCACAGGTCCAGGGTGTGGTCAGTTCTGTCCGTCCTTGAGAGTCAAACAGATTTGTTTTAACTTTTTGGGGGGGCTCTGTTTAGGGAGATGGTGGGTAGGGTGTTTCTAGATTGACTGTGTCTGTGTGCTCTTGAGTGAATACAGTTTGTGCCCAGCAGTGACCTGCTGTCCTATCCAGGGTATAGTTTTTTCTTTTTTGCCTCTAATTTCCAGAATTGACCTTGACCTTTACCAGGAGTAAGCAGGACAGATAGTACCCATGCAAGGAATGCATACAAAGGTCCCATACAAAATATCAATTTGACCTCATTGCTATTGAAAGGAATGTATGATTTTTGCAACTTTATGAATTTGTTCATCAAGGTATTTATCTGTTATGCACAATAAAGTCTTAAATTTTCTGTGCAGGTAAAAATCCTTTCTGTATTTGGGGGACTGTATTCCATCAAGCTGTATACCTGTGTAACTTTAGGCTGTGAATGTTTCATTTTCCTCTACCAGGCAAAGGAAAATAATTTATTTTGAACCTTAAAATGTCTAAATAGTTCACGCATGAAGAAGGCTCCAGAGCCGAAACGTTGTGTTTCAGCATGGAATAAACCTTACTTGTTCCTAATAGTTCAGTGTTTGTCCCGGAGGACTGGTGTGCCTGCAGATTTTCTAGGTATTTTTAAAGCAGCAGCACCAGAAATCCAGGGATAAGTTGGGGAAAAAAAGTCTAATTTAATCTAACAATGAGCTAAGCTGGGTCTTTAATAGCTGAGCTGGAATAAAAACCTACAGACATGGAAATTTGGGATCTCCAGTGCTCTGGTTTTATGAAGGTATAGTGCTTCAGTGAGGGGATGTTAAGAGAACTTGTATTTTAGACTTACAATATATTGAATGAATACTGGTTCTGATAGACATTTCTAAACTGTGAGTGTACAGTAGTTGTGCTTATAATTATGCCATCAAAACAGGATTTTACTGTATTATAAGGTTTTAAGAGTTCTTAATTTGGAGTCTTTTTCAAAATCTAACCCTTTTCAGAAGAGTGCTGTGCGATACTTCATTGTTATATAGGCACTATGTTAGTGAGATGTTTATCTTTACTTGAAAATAAAGATTTTATATTAATATGTGAAACTATTTTAAAATCTGTTTTACAGCTGGCCTGGGAGCATGGCATGAAGTTCCTTGAAACAAGTGCAAAGGAAAATATTAATATTGAAAAGGCCTTTTCCATTCTAGTAGAAGATATACTTAAAAAGGTAACTTAAAAATTTTGTGAAGGAACAACTAAAAGGTTTATTCCATGCTGAAAAAAGAAGAAAGGAAACGCAATGTTTGGGCTGTAAGGCTCTACAGGCGAAACGTTGTTTCCTTTCTTCTCTTTTCAGCACGGAATAAACATTTTACGTGTTCTTTTGCAGCCTACGCAGCCTGACACAGCTACAGCTGCAAGAAAACGTTTGTGAACCCTTTAGAATTACCAGGATTTCTGCAATAATTACTCATAACAATGTGGTGTGATCTTTAAATAAATCACAATAATAGACAAACACAATCTGCTTAAACTAATAACACCCAAACAATTGTACTTCTTCTTGTCAGTACTGAACACATCGTTTAAACATTCACAGTCTAGGTTGGAAAAAGTGAACCTCTAGGCTAATGACCTCTCCAAAAGCTAATTGGAGTCAGGAGTTCCAATCAATGAGATGAGACTGGAGGTGTGGGTTGAAGCCGCCCTGCCCTATAAAAAAAGGCACACAAAGGTTGGTTACTGACCGAGTCGGCTCTTCTTAAGAAAGAGCTGTTCATGTGAACCATGTCCTGATCAAAAGATATATCAGAGGACCTTAGAAGAAGAATTGTAGAGATGCATAAAGCTGAAAAAGGCTACAAAAGCATTTCTAAAGGCTTGGGTGTCCATCAATCCACAGTAAGACAAATTGTCTACAAATGGAGGAAATTCAGTACTGCTGCTACTCTCTCTAGGAGTGGGCGTCATGCTGAAGGAGGTGAAAAAGAACCCTAGGGTAACAGCAAAGGACCTGCAGAGATCTCCTGAAACTTGCCAAAGTCTCTGTTCATGTGTCCACTATTAGAAAAACACTGAACAAGAATGGTGTTAATGAAAGGACACCACGGAGGAAACCACTGCTCTCCAAAACAAAACATTGCTGCACGTCTCAAGTTTGCAAAAGACCACCTGGATGTTCCACAACGCTTCTGAGACAATGTTTTGTGGATGGATGAGACAAAAGTTGAATTCTGTCAGAAATGTGCAACGCTATGTTTGGAGGAAAAAAAGAACTGCACACCAACACCAAAACCTCATCCCATGGTGGAGGGAGCATCATGGTTTAGGGCTGCTTTGCTGCCTCAGGGCCTGGACAGCTCGCTATCATAGAGGGAACAATGAATTCAAAATTGTGTCACGAAATTTTACAGGAGAATGTCAGGGTAGCGGTCTGTCACCTGAAGCTTAATAGAAGTTGGATGATGCAACAAGACAATAACCTGAAACACAGGAGTATATCAACAACATAATGGCTTAAACAGAGGAAAATTCGTGTTCTGGAATGGCCAAGACAGAGTCCAGACCTCAACCCAATTGAGATGCTGTGGCACGACCTGAAGAGAGCTGTTCTCGCAAGGAATATTTAAGCAGATCGTGTTTGTCTGTTATTGTGCCTTAGTTTAAGATCAGACCGCATTTTTATGAGTAATTAATCCAGAACTCCAGGTAATTCCAAAGTGTTCACAAACTTTCTTGCAACTGTACCTACTTTTTGTGTTTAATATATATATAAATAAAAACCTAAGACTGATTACAAATAACTGGAGGTCAGACTAGCCCCTTTTTAGCTAGTAGCTAATTCATCTGAGGATCTGATCCATTTTTTTTTTTTGCATGTTGGGTATTATTTTGATCTTTCAAAAAACTTTAACCGAAACATTTTTGCAAAAATTACCTTGTTTTGAATCCATGCTCCAGAAAGCCCCGACACCTGGAGCCAGAACAGATTTTAATTGTTCTGGCATTGAAAGTTATCATGTGCAAAAAGAAGTGCTAGTAGTTTTTTTTTCCACCAGATGTTAATAGTTAAATATACAGTACCTCACCATGATATCAGTAATATATAATTCAGAAACGTAATTATTCAAATTCAAATTATTTATATACTTTTCTATAGCTAGAACATGCACTGACGCTCCTATTGCTCACAAAGACTTCACAAAGAAGTTATAAATAGAGTAACCTTTGTGTTTTCTCTACAGAATCATTCCAACAGTCAGAGACTTGACGTGGTGAACCTTAAAAAGTCTGAAAAGAAAAGGTGTTGTAACCGCTGAGCCACGACGGTAGCTTATTCAGAAATCTGCAATCCAAAAGATGTGAACTTAAAGCCTGCTGACATAACTTTTATGTAAAGAATTTTGCTCTGCGGGGAAAAAAAATCAATCTCCTATTCTCTGTAAATAGCAATTGAGCTAATTTTGGTCTCTAGTCATATCTTATCTTATACTAATGTAATACAATTCATCATATATACAAAGATATTATATAATCCACTGTGTGTACAGTATGTGTATTTCCTGAGTACAACAGAATATGGAAACAAACCTGTGAAGAAATAGGTGTAGATAGATATGTTTTATTGTTTCTTGGAGATATGATTATAATATCTTTCGTCAGCATTTCTTATGGGAAATTATTCCAAGGAGGCCTACATAGCTGTGAAATGCTCAATACATTGCATTTCATAAGCTTTGAGATTCACGGTAATTGCATTGTGTACTGAAGGTAATTTTCATGTAACTTCAGAAGAATAAAGAGTTTGACTCTTCTGAGTGTTTAATAAAATATCAACTTATAGATCAACTGAACTGCTTTTTAAAAATATGAAGGTTTAAAACTAGGAAAAGGCTTAGTGAGCAGTCTAAATGCATAATAATGTTTTGTTTGAAAGCTACTTTATATTACTGAATACTGTAATACTTTTTACTGTTCTCTAAAAAACTGAAGCAGACTTATTCTGCTTATAAACCATTTATTTTACATGTAATGAACATACTGCAAATTAAATTCAGTACTATACTACATTGAAAAATAAATTCAATTCAAGCTGTATTATCCCCTGGGGAAAATTTGTTCTGCTGTACAGCTAACACTGGAAAACATCACCAACAAAGAATACAGTGTAAGAATGTTTCAGGAGATAAAGGAGAGAGGTATTTTACAGTGTCAGGTAATGCTGAGTAAATGGTTATTGAAATTGATTGTAAGACTGCATTGGTCTGTAAAATTCTGAAATTGGTACATGACTGCAATGTCTAATAGAGCTACATGTACTGGAGTAGTGCACTTGCATTCATGTAATACTTGCTATACTGTGTATTAACTGGTGATGTCGCCAGAGTTTCAAGAATGGTAATCTTAATACACCAAAATCACCTGTGTATACTGTATGTATTAGTTTTTACAGTATGTGTCTAACATACACAAGGTAATTCAAGTGGAATAATGAAATATTAAACTAAAACATATGTGAGGATTGGGCTAGAGAAATGATTAAATCACAAATGCTTTTATTTAAAAAAAATGTTTTTATTTTAAAGTGTAATTCGGAGTCTTTTTTAATGTGTGTCTCCTTGTAAAGGCAAAAATAAATACCATTGTTTTACCAATTCAATATTTTAAATGGAAAATATTGTAATTATAATAAATGACTTTCCTCCCAAAACTCTTGATTTTAGGTCCTTAATGTTTACATCACACCAGATTTATTGTGCGCAAGGCTGTGCTGTCATTTTTTTCTTCTCGATTTGGCTTAAATAATTTCAGGAGTCGAGCTAAAAAGTATGGTGTGAAACTCCAGGGGGGCTGTAGTCTTTACAGGTAACATAGATTTCTACAAACATCATCAAATTGGGATCACCGTGGGCCAGAGCCTGTCATGGGAAGCTTTGGCCACGTGGCAGGATACACCGTGGATGAGACGCTAATCCATCACTGGGCACACACAGACACACAACAGGGCCAGGTTTCCCAGAAGCCAATTCACCTACCAGTATGTCTTCGGACTGTGGGGGAAATTCTGAGCACCCAGAGAAAACCCATACAAATACAGGGAGAACCTACAAACTCCAGACACACAGCACCTCTGGAATTGAACGCGGGGCAATGCAGAAACATTAGCCGCTGCGCCACTGTGCTGCCTGGATCACAGTCGTTATTATATCAATTAAGTGAATAGCTTTGAATAACTCTGAACGTGTTGTTCATTCGTTGCGTGGAATGAATACCAGATGGCCTTGTAGCTGTGAAGCAGGAATGAGTGCCAGGGCTTTTGATTCATATGCTGATACATTGTCCGCAGTGCCTGGAAAAGAGAACAAAATTAAAGCGTTGTAAAGACTGATGCGCCCCCCACCTTTTCTCCTGCCTCGTCAAAGCTTTTGTTGGTGTGCCAGGCTGAACGTTCACTTGGCAGTATTACAGGGGAACCATATATTGTTGGCCAGGAAAGGACAAGTCAAATACTGTTTGCTTAAGTAATTCATTAAACCTGCTTTACTGGTTTTATGACTTTTACCATACTAATCCCCGCCTCAATCATCTCTCGCGTAGATAAAAAAATATTTTTAAATGATTTGGCCCACGTTTGTTTTTTCGTTCGACAAGTTCCTTGTTAATGATATATGGAACAGTGTGCTATTGCCTGTGAATGATAAAGATGATGGAATAAGACCGGCTGTCTCGGGGAAATGAAATGGGTAACTTCAGAGACGATTAAAGACAAAAATCTGGCATCTCTTCTGGACCGTGACGATGTCCTGTATGGAGTTATACAGCCACCGTGATTGTTGAAACTCCATTTACCCAGTTGCTGTGCTCGGCCCAGTCCTGGCAGCAGCATGTTAAAAGCTGGCTGTAGAATCTCTGTGTGGGCGTAGGGGAGAGGATCATGGGAAAAAAGCTCTTATATTGCATGTAGCATTTTT